AGAAATACAAAACAGCCACAGAACAATAACAGAAAACAGAACATAGGGACCGGCAAACAGTTCGCCCATATTCAGTGAAGTTTTGTGTGTTTTGCATAAAGTTTTGTGGATCTGAAAACCAAACATTTATACATGGCAGCCACTTGAATGTAACAAGCCAAAGTTCAAAGCTCAAACTTTTGCCCACACTTCAAACACCGAAGTGGCAACAATGTTGTGCCCCATATCAAATATCCAGGAAGCATGTGGTGCATTGAGTGTGGTCAGGGTGGATCAAGTTGGACAATCGAAAAGTTTGGCTTACATAAGGGCAGAGGTGCGGGTTCTATTCCCCAGAATGTACAGGAAAATTGTGTTTTCTAACCAGGAGGCAGACACCTTAAAATAATAATATTGGAATATAAGCATGTCAATTTCAGATAAACTTATATTTTGTCTAGGAAAAACAATATATATTTTTTTAATATACTTCGAATCATTAATATCTCCAAAAAGAATAATTATTATCTTCATTTTTTAAAAATCTATTTTTTACCCAGTGATTTTTAATTGTTTAAGGAACTTTTCAAGGAGGGTTATAAATCAAAAAATCGTTACTCAGACTACAATCTTTAATTATCAAAGGTTCCAATCTATCTAGCAGACCGAACTTAATTTTATTGTGCTTAATAATATTCCATTCCTTAACCCTTAAATAACCGCTAAGTGTTTCAGTTTTTAAGCCCAATAGACCTCTAATAAACCTTTGAAGATGAATAAGATAAGGCACTTGCACCCGCAGAATTTTCAAATAAAATGTTAAAGAGTTGCTATTTTAATTACTCACAAAGAACTGTACACAATTGGATTGAAAAAGCCATTAGGGATGTAAGCGACTCGTACTCCCTGTAAGAATAAATAAAGATACAAATATAAATGCCAGACTCTGTCAGTCAGATCTCGAGCTCAACTAATGAGTGACCATGCATAAACAAAAAATGAGGTGGAAAATGTGTATTTGGACTTAAGTCCATTGCCATGGACGAGCACCTTGCCCTGGGAGATGCTTGAATGTCTCAAGTCAAGCGACTCCCTCGGCCAACACTTATTTTAATGAGAAATTCTAATTTCACCAATAACACAAAAGACATCCTGGAAAAATGCGCAAACAAAAAAATAAATAAGGAAATGTGGCGAAAGATATTTTTGCTTTTCCTGGCAAGGAGCTGCCGTGATTGCTTTTCGCCACTCGTCCGTGACGAAAACAAAAGAGGCCGCTGTCTTTTTCCCTATCGAAAAGCTGGAAAAACCCCGAACGGAAAAAATACGAATTGCCTGCATAAAAATATCTTGAGTATTTGCTAGTCTGCAATTAAATGAGGGCCGGGTTCTCCTGTTTCCAGAAAGGAAAGGAGGTGACTGAGCTTAGCAATAATAATTACAGTTTGGATGAGTTTTGGGGGATATCGCTGAAGTGTTGCAGGGGCTAAAGATCTTCTGAGTCGGTAGAGAATGGGTGACTTGGAGGATTCAACAAGGAGTTTCAGACATTAGCAAGTCTGAACTCAAGAGTGATAGCATAACCTGAAGAGCATATTAAATTGTTAAAAACTCAGGGGGAATTTAATGATAAAGATCATATATCTTTAAGAACCTTCACTGAATTCACTAAAAATATGTAACCTCCATATTATAATTCCTATCCAATTCAGAATTTGTTTGATGAAAATAATAGGGGTCTTCCACTGACTTTTTTTTGCCAACATAAAAGCGGAACAGGACTAACTCCTCAGATCAAAATGTGAAGTTCTAAGGACATAAATTTAACTAATACACCACACAAGAAGGAAACGTACATTGCAATGCATTACGCAACCCTCAAGAGGGGGATATATTGAAGAGAAGATACTCCCCCTTTCGGAATGTTCCACAATAATCAAGCAGGACTTAGGCAAGTCGAATTACAGTTACAGTTAAGGTAACGGTAACGCATGGCAATGTCCATAAAATGACACTGAGTGTCAGTTTCAATTAAACATGTTGACAGCTGTAAGGACACGGCCTGAACTCGGGGGCCAGCCGAAATATTTACTCCCCCCACATCACAGAGATACTATTGTCCATGTCTGGGGTGGATTCCTGTCCTCTGGCTATTTCGATTTTAATACGAGAAATTCCTGGCATTGTCGCCTGGCCATAAAGAAGTCGAAGGGAATACGTTAAAGGAGCCGAACTCATATGACAACTTTATCGGCTCGAAAGAAGAATATTTGCTGAGATTTTCAGGTTGCTTCTGGACGTTGACATCTTATGCCTGTATGACACTAGTTTGAAAAGTATGCGCCTTTCAAAGGACTTATAGACTTCGTTTTAAGACCGACTTAGCTAAGATCTTATAAACCAGGATAACAGTATGGCACTAAGAAAAATGTCGCAGAAACTTCAACATATTTAAAAATTAAAGTGAACAATATACTCAAAAATTAAAGTCGGTGTTATAAGATCCTTTGATATTTTTGGCATTTGCATGCCTTTCATTTTTTGACAGGAGGCAAAGAAACTCATTGCAATTTTAAGTAATTTTATGTGTATTATTTACATACGAAATGAACGATAAGATTTTCTTCGGCAATTTTCTGCCTTGTCCTTTTGGCCATGATGCATTGACAACTTGTCAAACATTCTAATATCCTGTTCGGTTTGTGAGCATCATGTCGTGATGTGAGCTCCATGGGGGAATTTAGTTTAATTAAACTGCCCATGTATGAATGCAAATACAACGATTTTACTGTTTGCATATTAATTTCCTGTAATTCTAATTGAAGGTGACAGAAATTCAGAATATTTTTCAAGTAATCTCAGAGGAATAATGAACAAATGTCTCTATTTTGCAGGTAGTCATGGTTGGATTATTAGATAGCTATGTGCTACGTCAGTATTAAAGGTAAAATGTTTATGAATTGTTATTGATAATGGTATTAAAAGGTTTGCTAATAGAAAATCTTGAATCTTTATATAAAATTTTATGGTTGTGGTTTTGAAAAACATTTTTTATTTATTTCGAGGCGTAAATAAACTCTCAAACCGCGGACAGACCTTAAAAGCCTTTTACACTTGAACAGTTCATTTAAGTCCTTCTCTTTACCCTCCCTTTATACTTTTTTTAATTTTTCCGGAATCTTGAGGGTGGAAAGTAAAACCACTCGATGTCATTTTGACGCCAGCGAGTTGGTGACTTTTTCCAGTATTTGCCGAAAATATTAGCGTAATGCCTTTGACAAATCAATCGGTAAGCGATTGACATGAGAGACAGAAGGCTAAGTGTCATTAACCACACCCTCAATGGGCGTTGGTCACACCTCGTGCCAAAATTATTTGCCCAGATTGCTCGCAGAATTGGGATAAAAGAGCTTGTTGACGGTTCGGATCAAACGAGACCGAAGCTGCGATAAAGAGGTCTTAAAATTCATTCTGAAGGATTTGACAATCCTCAAAGTTAGAGGGCAAACAGAAAATGTACAAAACACTTCAGTCGTTAATTTTTGATAATACCAACAAGTTTAAGAAAATTTTAATGAAATAAGCCTCTTATGAATACAATGGTGTACCTGACTTTTATACCACCTTGCTAAATAAATGTGACTTATTACCATCGCCTAGGTTATTATAATTTAAGTTTTTACTATAAATGCTGAATTATATTTATTTTAATCAATATAAAATATCTCCTGTGCTATTAGAACTTAAAAGAAAACATTGATTATAAATAAAACTGCTACAACTCAAATCAAAATCAATTTCATCCAAAAAAAGGAAACACATTTTCAATCTGCGGAAAACCCCTTTACAAGCCCCGTCAACGTATATACAAATTTAATTTGCATAATTCGATGGGGATAAGGTTTTGGGAAGAAAATCTTAAACTAGCAGATGACGCCATTTGACAACACGTGCTTTTGTCAGTCGAAAGTAAAGGGAACCGCTAAAATGATTCAATTTCAAAACTGGAAAAAAGTTCATGCCAAATATCGAAGTTTTAGTACTTTTTTATTATACTTGTTTATATCAACGTATGATAACAGCTTTCATCTATGTTTTAACCTTTAAAACTAAATCAAGTTTGTACATTTTTTACTGTCATTAAAATAATATCCGAATAGACAATCGATTCTACATCGTGTTAGAACTAAAGTCTACTTTATTTGTACAACCACGTGAATTTCTAACAAACATCTACAAAAACATGGCATCGGATCTGAACCCACTTCCAGTTCCTGCATCCATCGTAGAGGACATCCAAAAGATATCCAAAAATATGTGCGAGGTGGAAACAGTTCTTACAAACACCAACAAAAATATGGCTTCGGACCTGAACCCTTTACCAGATCCTGAACCCAACGCTGAGGTTGTCCAAAATATATCAAACTATATATGTGAAGGGGTAACTCAGCTGATCCTGTGGCGAAATTGGCGAAAGTCGATTCTGGTATTCGCAGTCCTCCATTCTATAATCTATGATCTTTCATCGAAGTCGGCAATATCCGTTCTGAATGTATGGGCTGTTACTGGACTATGGATAACTATCTTCTACCGGTTATATGTGCGGTTCCTTCAGTTGATTAATAAGACCAATATCCAGGGTAATCCCTACCAGAAATATCTTGACATGGATATAAGTATTTCCGCAGAGCAGTCGAAAGAGCTGGGACTCGTGATCTCAACCAAAATTTTTGAGCACCTCGATAAGCTACGAGCGATATTATTGGTAAAGAGCGCATGGGAATCTTTCAAGTGGTTTGTCTTTCTATTTGGAATGGCTCTGATTATGAAGACTATCAACTTCACCATTTTGTTCCAATTCGGTAAGTCAAAAATTGACATATTAACACATACATTTTTAATTTAAATTTTCATCTAGTGTTGGTTTTTCTGTTCACAATTCCAAAAATGTATGAGAAGAAATTACTGATAATGAAATTTTTAAAACTCCGTAACTGCAACGTCGAAGTTAAACCCACAACAACTCAATTAATTATTAAATCCGAAATTCAAGATGAGATGGACATGACTTCTTCAAAGCATTCTGAAAAAGAATTTGGTAATATTATTTTAAAGAAAGAGGAGGATACAAAGAACTCAATCAATTCAGATGTAATTCACGAACCCTGTGCTGGTGGCGATAATATTGCAGTCTGTAAGTCAGAAGAAGAAACTCAAGATGAGATGGATATGATTTCTTCAAAGCATTCTGAAAAAGAATTCGGTAATATAATTTTAAAGAAAGAGGAGGATTCAAAGAACTCAATCGATTCAGATGTAATTCAAGAACCCTGTGCTGGTGGCGATAATATTGCAATCTGCAAGAAATCATTGATATTGAAATTTTTAAAACTCCGTAACTGCAACGTCGAAGTTAAACCCACTCAATTAATTATTAAATCCGAAACTCAAGATGAGGTGGACATTTCTTCAAAGATTTCTGAAAAAGAATTTGGTAATATAATTTTAAAGAAAGAGGAGGGTACAAAGAACTCAATCAATTCAGATGTAATTCACGAACCCTGTGCTGGTGGCGAAAATATTGCAATCTGTAAGTCAGAAGAAGAAACTCAAGATGAGATGGATATGATTTCTTCAAAGCATTCTGAAAAAGAATTCGGTAATATAATTTTAAAGAAAGAGGATTCAAAGAACTCAATCGATTCAGATGTAATTCAAGAACTCTCTGCTGGTGGCGATAATATTGCAATCTGTAAGTCTAAAGAAGAAGCGAGTGATGAGTTCGAGCGCCTTGCCGATTCCTGGTCGGATGAAGACACAGAAGCTGATACATAATTCTACAATTTCGTAGTCTCAATTTATATATTTTGAAGCGAAAGGAGATATTTTTTTGCGAGCTGTTGCTGAGTTACTAACGTCGGAAAATTATTTTACCCTCTAATAAAATTATTATTTGCTTTTATTTATCGAGAGATGGGGCATTTTACAGGGTGAAAAACTTACAAACAGAAAAAAATAAATTAATTTTGTACGAGTATTATAATTCAGCGCAGAACATTTTCGATTGTTCCAAATTGGTAGAGAATTACTCTTTATAATACTTATGAATTTGATATACGATTTCCGATACAAATTTGGGAAAATAAAGAAACTCCTTAGAAGTAACTTATTTGAGAATAACTTAGTTTTTAACTTTAAGCTATTTCTTTTGCAAATAAATAAATAAGATATACTTATTTTTAATCCGAATCACTGCTATGATCTCCGTCATTAAGAAATTCAAAGGCCTTTCTCGGCTGAATAGCTCGGTAGGGTCCTGGTTTTTCCCCTTTTTTTGGGGGAAGATTATGAATCCTTGATACCGCGGCCTCAGTCTGCGGGGAATAGTTTGCCTTAAATCTTTTCAGAAATGGTGGAATGGGCGGGATAACGCCATCCGATTGGAAGGGTACAATTCCCTGGATGTGTTGGGGCCGCAGCAAACTGCATAGCTGACGAAGATGCATTCTCGTCGGTGTCGGCGACCACTTAAGATTTTTTATGTCTAAGGATACTACATTTCTCGGCGCATACATCTGTTCAGCGTCCACCAAGGAACCGTAGACATAAAACCTTGGAATATAGTTATTTTTTTCCTGAAAGCACTCCAAATCGGAACTAAGGCACTTATAGCTTTCTGCCAACTTTTCATCTAGTCGAATATGACCTCGGAGGCGCGTTTGTGCCAATTTCCAGAGCAACTCCTCGTAGCCAAAAAGCGGCACATCCAGATGCACCACGCTATTGTTGTTCCTTGATCCATGTTCCTTAATGGTAGTAGCCACCTCATCGAAATCAATATGGACGAACGGCATATTTACAGACGATAGATTAAGATATAGCTGCTCAGTTCCCGCGGCGATCCACGAGTTGAAGATGGGGTTGCCCAGCAAACGGCCGAGATTATCGAGCCTCATGGCCGAGTAGCAGTAGAGCAGTCTGCCGCCCTGCTGCCGCCGGATGAGCAGGATGAGGCTGTGACCCAGATGACTGCCAGAGCAGAGCATCGCCTCCAGTCTCTTTCCGTCGCTGAGGATCAATGGAAAGGGCTGTCCCTCCCTCACCACATTGAAGTCCTGCTTCGAAATATTCGCCTTAAGAGATTTCAGGTACTTTAGCAGCTGTGTGGCCAGCGCATCAGTGGTGTACATCCGGCAGAACCGGCGTGGCAGCTTTACCAGCTGCTTCTGCACATTACACAGACTAGTTACAAACACCTTAAAGTGGGGATCATACATCTTGGGAATCACATCCAAGTGCAGGTCCGGGTGATCCTTTGGCCGCATGGTGATTATGGTAGTTCAAGAAAGCGCTGCAAGTACAACAAAATAGTTGCATTAATATATTTGTAAATTAATTTGTTCTAAAATTCAGAAAAATATTTCTAGCTTTATCCAAGTGAAAATATAAGAGGGAATACTTTTGGGCATGCAGGCTAATAACTGAAAAATATTATTTAAGACAATGCATTTTATTCGCTATAAACAAGTTCTCTATGATTTGTTTTATTTTTACCTATGTCTAGAAAATGAGTTTAATGTTTGTTACCGCATATCTTTAGACTTTCAGGTTAAGATCATATTTTCAGGTTGTAAACTTTTTGTTTTCTAGCAGTAGAGGACTTCCTGGTAATAAATTTGGAGGAAGTTTGCCAAGTTCATACAAACATCTCTCAACTTCTTATATCTCTGGGATGCATACATATAAAGTAGTGGGTTGAGACCCTGGAGTAGTTGCACTATGAATAATTTTTGTTACCCATTTGGAGTGACGACGCTGCGCTTTTATGGGCCAACAAATTTTCCGCCTTGACTCGCACGGACCGAAAATGTCATAAAACCTCTCTCGGATGGAAGGAGGTCGTTTTATCGATTGCAGCATTCAAATCCTATGCAAAATGACATTAAAAATTATATTGAAAGTGCCGAAACCACACCGACCATAAAAGCTTCCTCAGCTCTGGTGTAAAAACCCAGTTTGAGGTAATTAGTTTTTGGCTCATGTCTGCACAGAGCTCATAAAAGTTAGCTGACATCGACCGGTTAGAAGAAAATGCCATTAGAATATTATCAAAAATATCACAGGATTTGTTTTTATACCTTCGCTTTAACGCGAAAATGTCATAAGTAAAATGCCTTATAAAAATGGAAAACGTTTTAAGCAATCATGTGAGGAATTTACTTTTTATTGCTATGCTGAGTAATTGAATTCAATTTCTCAGGGAGAGAACAATTTTTTTAACAATAACCTTGAACTATTGAAAGTATATATCAAAATATAAATATACAAATTTTTAGATTTTTTTTAATAAGTAAAACAATATCGATAATATATTGACTTTCTTGTAATTTATTATATCTGAACATGGTTCTAAATTATATAAAAGGCCTAAACAAACCTTAAGTTCCAACAAAAAGTTTCATTCTTGAAACATTACCAAAAGCAGTCGGCAATCAAAGTAATGATAGCCAATAAATAATTTGCCGCAGACAATGGACCAAAGACTCCAAGTACTTAGTTGCACGACTAGGAACCTGTCACTCCCTGCCACAAAGAATTTGCATATGAATACTCTGGTATCTGAAGGATTTAATCACATATAATCCCACCCCTTCTGGCATGGAATTTGAAAAATTGTGTAGGACACATGTGATTACGGGGTTTGTGGGGTTGGCCAATGACTAATGATGCTTTCATTTATCTTTACATTGTTTGCCGTGAAAGTGTTAATACTCGTAGTCTCCACATAACCTTTCTCTGGATGCCATGTGCGCATATAATTACTTAGATTGGTGGAAAAGCTTTTGTCATCATTTTAAAATTATTTAAATTTGACTCTGAAATGACTAACTGGCTAAAAGCAATCGCACAGACATCGTTGATAAATGAGCCACTGATGAGTGGCGTTTGAGAAAAGCCCAAGCCAAATGAAAAATTATCGCAATTTAGGTGTTTGCTTCTAAGCTTTTCTGAACACAAATGGGGAATGTGGTCCTACGAAGATTTTTGCTGATAATTATAAGGGATTTGCATACGTAATTTTACGCTTTCCCGGTCTTAAAACACCTAGTCATTAAATCTGAAACTGTGTTTGTTAAAGTCTTGCCATTTAGGGTGGCAACATTTGATTATTTTTTTGGTTGTTTTAAAAAACAAAAAACATCTCGGATTTTGTCATCAATGATCTGATATCTGATATATAAAAGTGGTTTAGAAGTGGTTATGAATGTAACGAGTAATTTGACCTTTAAAAACGACCACGATTCTCCACCGCTACTTTAAGATCGAACATAATCGTTTTTAGGACAATAAAAATAAACCCAGTAAATCCTTTAATGTGTCTAATTGATACTGCCAGCCATTAAAACCAATAAAACAAGAATATAGTGAGGGAAAGTGAACGGAAAGGCCCAACAGAGATTTGCCAAACGAAAGATTTATGGTGTGCCAAGGAAAACATTTGTGTTTACATTTCGGTGTTGGTTCTTCACTCCAACCAGAAATGGGAGGATATGTGGAGTTTGCGGCGGAGGATGTGCCGAAAGTTCATTAATTATGATTGGAGACAGTTGTACAATTAATAAACGAAGCAAAGCGACTGTTTCCCCGGATTGTGGTGAAGTTCCTGGGATTCGAACTTTCGGGGATAAGAGGAGAAACTTCTGAGCGGAAACGAGAGTTTCGTTTTTGGCTTTTTCTCTCTATTTGCTTAGCCTGAGATTATGATCGGACTTTGATTTATGGTTGCCTGTGCAAATTTATTGCTTTTAATTGTATGCCCCACAGGATTCGGACTGGAACCTTCATTTCCCAAGCATTAGCAATACGCTGAGTAGTTGGCAGCTAATTGATAAAAGTTTCTTGAGTTATTCTGGCATAGCGACAGGAAATGGTTGGGGATTACATGAGAATAGAGGGTGCTAAATAATCTTAGATTAAAGAATCTTAAAGTTTTTAGCTAATTCTAGTTGTCTTCTATTACTTAAGAACGTGGGAAAATATATCATACCAGATTTAAATAAACATTTCACTTTCCTAAAGCAAATAATAAGTATTCTGGCATTGCGAGAAGAAATTGTTTAGGATTACAAGAGAAAAGAAAGTGTTAAATAATGGTAGTTTTCTCTACCATACATTCCTCTTTTTCAAAAGTTACCAATAAATACTATATAAACATGAAAATCGGAAATAATATCCTAAATATTCTAAACCTATCTAAACGCATACAAGAGCCTTTGCTGTTCATGTATGATTTTACCCTCATTGGTTTTTCTAACAAACCAATACTAGATTCGTAAGACTCATTCAAAAATCAATCATTCCATAGCCACTTCCTCAAACTTCCTGTGTTGTCTTTGAGCACCCCCCAATAGAAAGTTCGTTTACACATCATTTTTTCTGTGCATTTCGGTTTCGAATGCAACTTCTTGTTTGCAGACGTCGGAAGGTGGGAGTGTTGGCCTTCCAGGGCCTCAAGGCATTAATTGCATTCTGCAGCATCGCATTGCACTTTCAATTAGTTGCAAATGCCTTGCCCGAAAGTCAGAGGAACTGAATCAAAGCCCCCGCCCTTGGTAACAGGAAACGGAAGTTAAGTGCTGAGGCGAGGCGTTAAGTAAATGCAACCCCAGATGAAAGCAAAGGAAGCCATTTCTACCATCTCACTGGAGAAATACGCATTAATTGAAAGGTGACGAAGGGAGCTGGGGTTCTTAGGGGTTGACTCCGTTGCAACTTTTGGCCACTGACCAGCTCCAGAAAGTTGACCCCTTCGAGTTGCAGTCACTTTGCTCGGAGCCATTTCCTTGACAAAACTGGGGAATGGGAAAATACGGCGGCTGGTTACCTGTCTCTAATGCATTTCAAAATTGATTTATGAGTTTCTTTCGACTGGCTGGCAGCCTTAGACAGATTTCTGTTTGCGTTTGGGCCGTCGTGTTTGTTTTCAATGTTAATTAAGGTTTACAATTACCCATGGGACCTAGAAAGTGGTAAACGAGGAAGGGGACGTTAATCGACCGAAGGTTGAAACGATTTGTGTTATATCATGTTATAATACATTGAGTTCTAATCTTTAACAAGTTTTTATAAATAGAAGATAACATTTATAAAAACAAGATAACATTTTTTAAGAAGAGGTACTTTTTAAAGCCTACTTCAAAGAAATCATATAAAATTTACATGGTTATGAGTACCAACACAACAAAAACTCCCGATATTCAAATTCCTTAAGAGATTTTCCACCTTTCCCTTTCCAAATATAAGCTTAGGTTGGGTTAACTTGACTGCTCCCGAACAATAGCAATAAATTGCTTTTTAAACACTTGGAAGAAGGACAAGCGTGTTCCAAGTAACATTGGCGTCAAATGCACTTTGGCTCCCATGCTCCTGCAGGATACTCATCCTTGGTTCTGGATTCTGGTCCTATATGCTTCCCGATTCGCTTCGCTTGGCTTCAGTTGGAGCCGAGTTGGCTTACACTTGGCAGCTGACAACTTTCTAAGAACAACTGCAAAGCGATTTGCATATTTAGCTGCATGGAGTTGGCTCCAAATGGAGGTGAGAACTTTATCGCTTTTAATGCAGCCAGCCGAGGCACATGCATCACACACTCACATTCGTAAATCTTGGACAGAAACTTTGGCAGACTACAAATTTATTTATAAACACAAGAAGTAACTCTTGAGTTGGGTTTTTGTGTTAGAAAAAGAGCTGGGAAGTGGCAAAGAGATGCTTAAATCAATATTCTAATAAGAAAATTGTTAAAAGGAAATATTTAAAATACATCTTTTAATGAATAAAATGGCGGATTACCATAATTTAAGGAATTCTTCAATTATTCTTTACAAAACCTTATCCTATTTTTGAATGAAAGCCAAGTTATGCAACACAGAAAACAGTTTATTCTGTACAAAATACTGGTATTACAGACTTCAAGACTACACATTTTAGCATTTAACAATCAAATAAGGTAAAAATTTGTTCCTTTCTTAAGGGGTCTCTAAAACACCCTTTTGACCAAACACCGGCAGCCAGGCCTTAATCGTCTGTAGCACTCGCTCGCTGGTAAATAATTGCTGGCGTTTCTTTTGCATAGCTTCCCGATCTCCAAAGGTCTGAACACCGAAATCGGCACTTGCCTCAGGGGAGGCACAAGCAATGGGTAGTTCGCAAGTAACTGCATAATAGCCGTACAGCAGACATCGATGCATCTCATCCTTTAATTGATCAAGCGTGGGCAGTGGTCCTTTAAATCCACAATGTTTTAATGTCTCCTGGAGACAGTGGAAGTAATGGCTCACAAGATTGTCCATATTGTTCACTAGTATTTCATGCTTTATACTGGTAAAAAAAAGGAAATAAAGGTCAATGGCCGGACTGCCCCAATAACAGTTCTGAAAGTCAATCTAAAATAGATAAAATAGTTTAGTAAAAATTAGTTTTAATAAAAAATTTTATAATTTATCTTACAAGGACTGCCTTCTTGTTAGCTGAATCAAACATGATGTTATTTAACCAGGGATCCCCGTGGACAACTGCATTTAAAGACGACTTTTTGGGATCGACAACATCTTGCATTCTCTGTGAATATGCTTCTGGTATTTGAGCCTTCATTTTCTTAGATATTTCCGGCAGTTCATCGGCAAACACTTCTGCTGCATATTCCGTAGTATCTAGGATGAGAGACTTGGCGAACGGATCTGATAGTCCCTTGGCATAATGAGAAGGTGAGAGTTTTGCCACCAATTCTGGTTGGTTCTGGAATAAGACCATGGAAGCGCCGTGGAACTGAGCCAATTTTCTCAAGCAAATCTTGGCTTCATCCACGCTAAGGCCCTTATAGCGATCGAAAGATCCGTAGCCCAGGGCACACAGATCCTCTAGAATGTAGATCTCCTTTCCAGTGGAGGTCTCGGCTAGCAAGCATCTAAAAGTCCAAAAAGAAGTATCAATCGGATATTTAACTTAATACCCCAGTTCATAAGTTTTACACTTTAGAATGGAGTTAATCAGTAAAATTTTCTTATAAATTGATTATTTTAATCATTTTATCTTTTTTAGGATTTTCTAGGATTATCTTCTTTCTTTAGAGTGGTTTTGGGAAACGTTGGTACTTACTCTGCACTCAGTTTGTGCTCGCCGAAATCCTTTGGAGCGTTTTCAAGGATAGCTGACATCGCTGGCAAGAGTTCCTCGAACATATCCTTTTCATTTGTTCCCAATTCAGCGGCGACGGGCAGCAGATCTTTGAGAACATATCTCCCTGATTCAAGATCGCCATCGGGAGACCTCCGAAAGTCCAACGCCACTCGGTAGATGACGCTGCAAAAGTGCTCGCCCTTCTGGCTCACCACCTCGATGTGAAAGTTTTCCACCCGCAGCTTTTCACAACTGTATGCTTTCGCCAAAGCTCGCTCGAAATAATCCGCATTGTAGTTTTCCCGCTCCATAGTTCTATGTCCGTTCTGAACAAACCTCGCCAATCGACTAAACCCACGGGTGTTGCACTACTTATGAAATTCACTACGGGTTTCCCCCTAAATTGTTACACGTTTATCTGGGAGCTTTGTCGTTATCACTGCATGATCAACACAGAACAAAAACTTTTGTGCACTTCGGGTTTACTGAATCTTTACATAGGTTGCATTTCAACATTGACGAAATTATCTCACCGCTTATATACATGTAATGCAGTATAATGTGAAATAAGAAGAATAAATGATTGGTACTTGCACTATGTAAACTGAATATAGGAAGTGCCTTGATCCCGGTTTAGTCCTTTAGGACATTATTTTTATTTCATGAAATAACATTTACTGAAACACTTTGCTATTTTAATGGTAACTAAAATATATAAATTACTTAAAAATGTAATTTTTATTGTATCCTGTTTTTTTGTGTGTAGATGTTGATCGCTCTTTTGCGGAATCAAATAATAAAACGTGTTTGTCAAACGCACCCCAAACAAAGAGGAATTGTTTGTGGTTTAACTAAATCAAAAGATTAAGCTCAATGTCATAAAGGGGGTTGACTAAAACCCTGCATGTTTTTTTATTATTGAATTTTCTCTTAAAAAACAATTTGGAACCACCTATTTAGGTGGTACTTCCTAACCAAACCTAATACGTTTTTAATATTAGTTTATTACATTTTTTATTTATTTAAATCTTATCAAAAAATTAATTTTATGTAAACGTTACTAAGAAATTAATGTTATTATAGAGCTAAGAGTCCTAGTGATAAGATTACTCTATGGAAAAGTTCTTTCGATCACGTTTCAAGCTTAGCATTGCCTTTTAAGGTACATTGTGGAAACTGAGATCTGAGTGTGGTCCATGATGACTTCACGCGATATTATGTAGTACAAATGATAAACAAGATAAAGATAGGAATAAACCCAGTTCTAGATTAACATTTTATTGTGGTTTAGTGCTAAATCCGCTATGTTTTGATAAATTATGATTAATTATTGTTATGGCTTAGAAGTTTGAATAAGTGAGGAAATTTAGAGCTTAAAATCTTTTAAGCGTAATATAGGTATTATAGTCATTTTTTCCGTATACGTAAGAATTCAAAGAAATTATAATTATTTGCAAAATAGACATAAAAAACTTTATCCCTTTAAAATTTTCAATCATTTTATAATCGATTTGAAATAAATGCTGGACTAATGCGCAAGTCACTATTTAACACTATAGCACATAAATTATTCCTTATTTTCTTGATCGAAGATCACAGGATGTAAACAGATTCTAAGATAGTAAAAAATGTTTACAAATGGTGCATTTCAGCATTATTAACTCAAAATCGTGTTTCGACCTATAAAACTTTTTTAGTAATTGAATATACAGGGGTATTACAGAAATCGTTTATCGCTAAGTTCAAGCAGACTCACAGTAGTAAGAAATTCGACCGAACTCAGCGCTACGCGATTTCTGTGGCACCCAGATTATTATTATCATTCTGACTGCTAGGGTAAAGTAAAAACAAATCGATCAAGAGAACCCCCTTGTTGACATCCGAGAAACCCCAAAACAGACATCGCCTGAAGTGTGTAATTGTAATTGTGGGTTTGCGGACTTAACTATTGTCTATTGTGATTGATTGAATTCCCCAGATACTTTTATAGTTATTATTATTAGAGTATATGTATAATTAATCTTCACCAACCTTTGCAGTTATTATCAACAAAGCGCGAAAAAACAACACTGATGCGCATTTGGAGGGAAGCACGCTTGCAGCATCAAGTTTCAGATAGTGCACGCGAACTATGAAATGGTATTTGTACACAGCACTCGATTAATACAGCTTTTAATTGATAACTAATTAATAAACGGAAAATTATATGTAATCTCCAAAATAAAGGAAAACATCGCGCTTATGGACTAGTTCAATGCAAGGCGATCTAGTTCAAATGAGCAATATATCAGCTGTTTTAGCCAGTTCCTATGGATCGATAAATTGAACCAGCACAAAATAATCGGATATCGATGCCGGATACCGGTTATTTCAAAAAATTATTGCTACCTAAGTACAAAAAAACCAGAATATTAATAATTTATCAAAGGATATGTGAGTGTCAAAACACAGGAAGGGGTTTCTTTTATGTTCTATCTTATAAGAGGGTATAAATGTACAAAACAAAAATGGAATCAACAAATTTAAAACATTAACAACACACAACTTAAAAATTGCTATAAATATAAAAAATGTAATTCTTTCAGTGTTTTTTTCAACATCGTTTTTTTAAGGACGACAGTGAAAAATACGTATTAGCGGAAAGGGAATGGTTGATTAAGAATATATTTACATTTTCCAGCATTGATCTCATATTTGGCGCTTAAACTTTTTAGAACTTTATTAACAGACTGGTTTAAATTCTGGACTATACAAATCTTAAAAACTTATCCTAAAATATCTAAACTTAACAAATTATAACTACTCAAAAGTGCTCTCTTCCCCTTTAAGGGCACAAAAGAAGTCGATGTCGAGCAATTTACTAGGATCAAATTTCACAGCTGACTTTACTGTCTTCTGGGCATCCGCATTCTTGACAATGCGATTCCATTCTGAGAGGTCGGTACCAGGATTGTTGCGATTGGCCTCCTGGTGGAGAGGTTTCAGCATAAAATGGGCCTTTACAAGCTGACTTAGCAAACGCACTAAGAAAGAAATTTAAAAACATTAGAACTGCAAAATTTGAGAAAAATTGTTTGTTGAGTTACAGTGAATTGGTTGAAAACCAAGTAAATCTGCATGTTCGCTCCACCAGTTGCAAATAAGGCTGAGGTAGTGCTTTGTCGTCTCTTCGGAGTCGCGAAAAAGGCAGGTGAGGTAATACTCATGAAAGACGAGGGTCAGCAAATGCACAGCAATGCGGGAAATCTCGCCCACTCCATCGGTACCTAAAAAAGCAAAACGTTGAATATTAGTTGATTTCAAAAGTACACATTTTAAGCCTATTAAATACAGACCTAATTTTCTTTCGTGCAACATCCACTGGTGCATCACTTGGAAGACAATCGTGACCGCACTAAGGCATAACTTCACATAGCACTCGCAGTCTTTGCTGCGCTGCGTTGAGCTTGAGTTTGAATTCGAGTTTACATTCAAGTTTGAAACGGACGCTGATGCAGATCCATTGGAGATCGATCCCTGGACCGCACCCGTGGTGCTGCAACTTAAACTGCTGCTCGTTTTCGCTAAAGTTCCGTCGCCAGATTCCTCCTCTTCAACGTCTGCAAAGTACGGCAGCATTTCCAGTACGAAATCCGGTGGATTTTTGAAACACTCAAAAGCAAAGCGCACGTGATTTCTTCCGATTTGGAGCAGTAACTGAAAGTGATCCTTTCTCAGAGGGGTCTCACTAAAGAAGCACAGCTCGAGCAATCCGGCATAGACCTGTAGTAAACAGGAGTCGGGACCAAATCGATAAACGGATCGAACTCTGTCCGACACAAAACTCTCCTTGGGACTATTTACACACATTTTAACCATCAGTTCCGGCTGTCGAAGGCAGCTCAAGAAACAGCGGCTTAGCTCAGCAAAAACCCATGGACTGGGGCGGGTAAATGCCAGCTGCTTCAGAAGATCAAAGAGTAGCTCCTCATTTTGTTGGGGCAATCTCTCTCCTTGTAGAAGACTGTTCAGGAGGGAAGTCAAAGCTTCTAGCAAGCCAAAATGCTTACCAACCTCGTAGGAAAACCCCAGCTTAATAACAGCTTCGGTTGCCATTTCAAGTAATCCTACTTCATTCTCTTTCCACTCCAGGAGGGCTCTGGAAATCTTTTCCTCTTGCCGGCAAATCAAAGCCAAGGTAGCCATGTAGCGACGCAATGGCACAGCCCTTTCGTTCTCAAATAAGCTACCCTGCTGGGAAAGGGAGATGCGGTGGACCTGCTCGTCTAGGTTGTAGGGATTGTAAGGATACAACATGCAGTTGTGTGGGAAATCCAAGCTTTGAGCATAGGACGCAAACTCCGTGAAAACCTTGCCGACGGAAGAGAGGATCCTTGGAATGAGGTTATCTAAAGATTCCGGCTGCGCTTGTAGCTGAGCGTAGTAGAGCAGCAGTTGCTTTAGCTCCAGATCAAAAGGGTTCCTCCGTTTCTTAACCTGACCCTCATCCTCGCTATACTCAAACATACTGCCATTATTTGTTTTTAGCCTGGGCACTGATCTGTGTATGTTGAGCTTCTGAAGACGGAGTAGGGACCGCTTCTCTAACGGATCTGGGGCAGCCTGCATAATGCTGGAATTCATACTTTTTTCATGGGCTCTTTGCTGTGTCTTCAGCTTGGAGTATTCGGCGTTCTTCATCTTCAACTCGATATCCTTGGCCGCAACTTGTTTGGCCGCCTCCGCCACTTTTTGTTTGCAGTCCCGATTTGTTTCATCGGCCAAGGCCAGCTTCTCCATCTTGCTGGCCTGCAGCTGCTGGCGCACATGCTTCAGCTCATCGCGAAGCAGGGTAACCTGAGGAAAATAGATGGTCCATTAACAAAAAAAACATATTATACTTATACAAAATATATAAACACTGTTATAACTTTCTCTACCCACCTCTCCCGACTTGATCTCGTTGCGTTCGTTGCTGTCGCCCAGGTTCTTCTCCAGCTGAGCCTTGTCCCTCTTAAGGGCTTCAATGCGTTCCATGAGGAACTTGATCTGGTGCTCCTGCTGGCGGGATTGTGTGGCATTAATAGTCGTCGTCTTCGTAGTCTTCTGTTGAACACTGATGCTAGAAGTTGTGATCCTACTTGTACTGGGTTTCGAGTCCGCCAGCTTCTGAGGCTCGCTGTCGATGAGGGTAACGGCCAGGAAATCAAAGTCATCGTCGTCCCCGAAAATGGCTTCCATGTCCAGGGTAGTGGACTTCTTTTGCGGCGGCGGCGGGGGCGGAAACATTTGCTGCGTGCTAGTGGAGCCCTGACCCATGGGAGCGAATTCACTGAAGGTCACCTCACTGTGGGCAATGTCCACCTCTGTCACCGCCTTCCTTTTGCGCTCCTCCGCTTCTATTTCGGCCTCCGCCAGCTGGGTGGCCATCAAGATGACGTCGTCGTCATCGTCATCCCAGAAAACCCCATCGAAATTATTTCTTGGCGGACTGGGCCGCGTTGATCCGCGGGTCACGCTGACATCCAGACGAGGTTTCTTGGCCCGCGCAAAGTCCTTCATGGCACCGAATCGCTTGGAGGCCATGATTGCCCCGGTTCTTTTCCTTTCACGTTACTTTCTGGCCATAAGAGGTGGAAGACGATTCCGCCGGTTTGTTTTGTTTATAAAATCCAACAGAGATGTCACTATCGATACAAGCGATGGTATATCGTATCGAAACATACGGTGCGTTTACACTGGGTCTAGTTTGCAAGTTTTTGAGGTAAGCTAGGTTCACGGGATTCGACCTTTTAATACAACATATCAAGCTTATAAAATCATCTTAATTTTTTTTTACAGTTTATAAAATTTTGGAAAACTATTTTAAAGTCTCGAATGTTGTTAAAAAATTTGTTAAAATTTTTAAAATTATTTGACATAACATTACATATTTAAAAAATTTTTATTATGTTCAATCGATTCAATTTTTTAAATTAAATTTTCTAGATTTTCTAAATTTTGTTCTTCAATAATTAAATTTTTTTCAATTTATAAATTTTTTGGATGTCTTGAATACATCGATAAAATCAATGTTTGCCACCTCTATTTTACACTTGAAACTATCGATTGTTGTGTATCGGCATGCACACTACTTTCCTATTAACCTCAAAGGAAAAGCAAAGAACTCAGAGAGAACTGCAGCGAATAACAAGCGGATTTCAAGGAATATTAGAGCTCTGCCACGTCTGCAGACCTTTTGGGAGGACGGGCGGCGCGAATGGGACGCCATGCCAGCGAAGCGGATGACGGCCACCACAGCAACAGCTTCGTCCATCAGTGGAGCCAGTGGGTCCACAACGAATAGCAATGGTCCGTCGGGAGGCGGGACACGTCCGCTGGAGACGCTCAATGGGATGACCAGGCTGACCCCCGCCCGCGATTTGACCCTCGGTGGGCGTGGCGCTGGAGCAGCCAGCAAAAAGGTCTTTGCCCCCAATTTGAACGCGGTGCGGAACAAGAATTCGTAAGTACTGGAATTTCCTAGTAAAATCGTTAATTTCATCATCTGATATAAACTATAGCAATGTCAAAACCTCCAAGGACACCACCCAACCAAGAAGCGGACGCAGGGGTGGGCGTGGCAACGGCACAGGAGCAACACGTGGTCGTGGTGGGAATTCCGCTGGCGGGGCTAATTCCACGCTCATCCAGACCCAGGGTCTCTTCTCCGAGGGAGCGGGCGATGTCCACGTGCGAAGGTCAACGGGCAATGGAACGGCATATGCCCGGGGTGGTGAGGAGGTGGCCGTGGCCAGGAAACGGGTGGATCGTAAGGACGACAAGAGCCAGGCCGAACGGATTAAGGAACTCCTGGGAGAATCAGAAGCCAGTGATGCCGAGCTCAGTGAGGAGGAGCCCACCAAGACTGAGATGGCCCTCAGGCCCATCCTGCTGAAAGAGGGTACGTGTTGCGCCCATTTGATTATCCACTTATTGTGGGGAAAAGAGCGTTGCTTTTCTGATCTGGCTGTTTGAGACCCTAGATCTTAATCTAAATCTTTGACCACTTCCACGCACTTACATTTTGTTTTTCTATTGTAAACCCCAGGACTTTGGGTCACCCAGAAGACACCGCTAGTAAAACAGGAGGATTCCAGTTCATCCTCAACACAGAAAGGTAAGGTCCTGCACTTTCAAACTTATTTTATCTAACATAATTTTCACTTCTAGACACCTTGGCAGTAGCGCAGCATCTGCAGCAACTGCATGTGGCCGCCCAGGTTGCCAGTTTAGAGGAACCACCGCTGCAATACGGTCGCTATCCACGCACCATAGGAAACTTTCTGGACTCCAGCCAATCGCAAATCTTTCTCATGCAGCTCCCCGATGTGTTGCCATGTGTTGGCGATGATTCCGAGGAGCCAGAACCACCTAAGCCTGATCCTCTAGCTACAAGTGGATCGGAACCCTCAAGTCCTGCACCCAAATCATCCACCGGAGCCAAGGGAAGTGTGCTGCGGCAGCTGGAAGAGGGGCAGATCGGCAAGATTCTAAGGTTCAAGTCGGGCCGCGTCAAGCTGCAGCTGGGAGATACCCGCTTCGACTTAGATATGGGTCTTGATCCTGGGTTCCTGCAGGAGCTGATGTCTGTAACAGCGAACCGCGAGCAGCGAAGCGGAAACATGATCAATTTGGGACCCATTCAAGCCAAACTCAAGGCTACTCCAGATTGGGTGCACCTTTTCGAGCAGCAGGAGGCGGCAGCCAAACGGACGAATCCGGTACCGGGCACGTAGCACAACTTGCATCCCCTCCCTACTAGACATGTAATATTGTAAATAGGCTGCGCCTAAATCTAAGTTATTCCTACTCTAGTTGCCGTACATAAAATTTAAATATAGAATTTTGTAATACGATAACCTTAGAATACCTATTCTTCTCGGAGGGAAAAATTACTTTAAAACATTGAAGGTGTTCGAACCATTAACTAAACATCATATGCTTAGAACTGTTAGGTTTTTCACTAGTATTTGTTATTCAAAAGCAATATGATGAATGTGTTGCACGAAAATTGAGCCATCAATATAAACTATAAATTTAAATAGTTATCCGTTAATGGTCTGTAATATTCTATATGTTAAAATTGATATATTTATTTATCTAACGTTTTCGTTATTGGTCCTATCATACTTGCTTTTAAGAACATAATTAAAAAAGCTACCACCCTTATCGAAATCTATTGTGTACTGTGCTGAATAAAAAATAGCGTATATATGAATTGGTAAATAAGGTTCATATCCCTAAGAAACAACATTTAGCAAAGAAAGCTTTTTAATATAACAACAAACTAAGACAATCGATTAATTACTCGCGACCTGCTGGTTGGGCTCTGGACTGGCATCTGGGAGCTGAGTGGTGCTTCGTCCCTGGTAAAGATTCCCGGCCAGGTCGATGGCGTAGTTGTGGTCCACGGGATTGGCCAAAGCGGTCTCAATGGCCGCGACCAGGTTTTCCCTGGTGATGTATGTCTTGGATCGCTCGATCTCGAGCAGAACCCGCTGGTTGGCCTGCTCCTTGCGCTCCTCCTCGCGCACCTGTCGTGCCTCCAGTCGCTCCTGGACGTAGGCAACCTTCTCCTCTCGCTCCTTGGCCAAACGCTGGTCCCGCTCCTTGGCAATGGCTGCGTTCCAGGCGGCGTTGGCTTCAATGCACTTCTGGAACTCGGCCTCCTCCTGCTCGGGAGTGAGCACGATGTGGTCTACGGTGGAGGTTTCGTCAATACGAACGTTTTCCTCCCTCAAAAACTGTCGCACTGATCGAAGCTGGGTTCTGGAATTAGGAGATTAAAGAACGTTTAAGCTTATTGATGTATTGAAAAAAATCCTGTATCACAGAAGTTAGAATTTTAGACGTTTAGGGAACACGTCTAAAAGCTTAACATCTGTTATCCTTGATATTTCTGGCCTACCCATAGCCTATTTAACTAAATTTTTACCATAAGATAAGAATCTTGTTTTTTTTAAAATCTAGATAATGCTGGTTAGTTACAGGAGTACAAAAATTAAAAAACCAATATTTCACAGAGAAAATATTAATTTCATATCGAAGTACCAGTGGCAGAAGAACATATTTTTGGGAAGAGGTATCAAGATGTAGAAAATTACAAAAATGTTTTAATGAATTATATTTTTTAAGAAGGATGGAGAGAGAACAGTATTACAGGAACACTTCACCAGTTGGTCATGGGGAAATGGAGTTTGGGGTCGGGATCTGTGGATGGTCAACCTACTTGTACTGGTTGTGGAGCCTCATGAGCTCCGTGCGCTCCTCCTCCGTCTGCTTCTTGCGCTCGGGCACGCGGAACATCTTGCTCTTGGCCACCGGCAGCCAGCGCGGCTTCCTGCGCCAGCGGACGAATTCCAGGGCGAAGCTGTTTCCGCCCGTCTTTCCGGCCGGAAGGGCGGACTGCGTCAGCAGTTGGCATCCAGCTCGCAGCATTTTCTCAAGAGTTTAATTAAAAATTATTAGTTTTTACTTGCTGCTGGAACTGTTGTGCAACTCTGTTGACAAAGAACTGGTTCCATGAAGTTCGATTGTTGGTTCCATCAGTGATGGCCAAACAAGCTAATCGAAACGGAAGAAAAAAGTCAAATAAATGTATAAGAAATATTTATTCAATTTTTATTGTTAGTTAGAGTTCTATCAAAGTCAATTTTCAAACAAATTTTAAAAAGATTAGTCAATACAAATTTGTTTTAAACTTTGATTTATCATATTTGGCATCTTTGAATCATTATCACCAATAGGGGCTTATAATTTGGACAAGGCTTTGATTGAATTCGTTCAAAAAACTCACTAGCTTTCTTATTTTCAAACGGGTCAAATTCTGGATCTATAAGAATAAGTTATTTATTTTCATGTAGTAAGACTATATATCCCACTCAATATTTAAATACTTGTAAAACGTATTTTACCTTCATTAATTTAGATATTATTAAAGTATTCCATTAAAAAAAAAAAAAACATGGAATGCAAAAATGGTTTTATTAAATTCCCAACATAAGGTCTAAGAACCGCCATATTTGGCGTGAAAACAGCTAGATGTGCAACGCGTTAGTGCGTTTCTCACGGTTGCGCTCTGGCAAGCTCGGGCTTGAAAGCTTTCTCGGCCAGGTGAACTTGGCGGAAGGTACGAAAAGTAACTGTCGCTCAGTCGCCGATATATCGCCGCGCTGGACGCACTAAGTTAGATACGAGATACGAACTCCGCTTTTCCGACTTTTCTACGTGGGTTAACTTAAAACAAAAGTCGCCTGCGCAGCCGGCGCGCCTTGAAAGTGTGTGTGTGAAAATGTTGTGAAATATTCGAGTTCTAAATCAGTTCAAAGGCAGTGTGGGAAAGTGCATTAGTTGTTTAGAAAATCCAAGGCTAAAAAGTGTTAAAAGTTAACTCCCAGAAATGCACACACGCATACCAATGCAATCGAAAAGTTAAAGCGACGATCATTCATTACTGCTTCTTCTTCTTCCTCTCTTTGCGACGTGTTTCGCTTACCTGTCAAAACGCGCGTGTATTGGTGCGCTCCATCGCTCCCTCTCACTCGCTCTCTCTTGATTTGCACATGCAAAAAGACAGCAGCAACAACAACAACGGCAACCACAAGATCTTCGCCTGAGAGCTTTCAAGTCGAAGTTC